AATACTGAAATTGCACAAACTGACTGACCGCTTCAGTAATCTTTTGATATTATCATGTCCGATAACACTAACTTGAGTGGATGATTTATAATTATATTCATGGTGTGCACTTGAAAGCAAAGATGTAGTTTCTCTACTAAAATGTTGAGAGCAAATGCTAAATTTTTCAATGATTGTGTACCTTAGTTTGGTTCCATGTAGAACTTTACTCATATAATATTTTGGGAATTTCTTCTTGTTCTCCTTACAGACCAAAACTAAGTTAACTAATTCTTTCCCTACATAGATAGACAAACAACTCTCCTCCTAGTTTTGGATTTTGCAATAGGGGAGGTGAATCCAATATCTCCGTTAATTGTTTGAGCACTATGCTGCACTCCTTTGTTTAATTAAACTATACAAACTTCTTCATAATTTTGAAGAAAGTCGAGCGTCAGTTGCCTGACATTAAAGGAACCTGTTAAGGTCTGTAATGTGACTAATTTGAGTTTGGAATTCTTTAAGATTCACGGTGGAGGCATATCCAAGATAACTTCAACTTTTTAAGATTTTATCTAATTAATTTGAGTTTGAGCAAGTACTGAAAGAACTTTCATGAACTTACACCAAAAGTACATCTAGGGAATTGAGTTTGAGGTTAAATCATCTCAAATTGTGAAAAGGTTTTTATATCATCTGTAAGTTCTTTAAGTAATTTGCTTTTAATGAAAAGATTGTCGATGTGCACCTCAACATGTTTTCCTTTTTTATTTATGAATACAATGTTTACAAATCATCAATAAGCTTCTTTAACTTTTTTTTTAGTCAAAAGGCATTACATTATAACAAAAAGCTCATTCTAAAGTTACCAAAGAAATTTTATCTACACCTATGTGATGCATTTTGATCTTGTGGTATCCTAAGAAGGCATCCAAAAAACTTATAACTAGGTGGCTGATGATTGGGTCCCCCAAGACATCAAATTATAGTAGTAGATGACTATCATTTGGGCAAGCCATGTTTATGTTGGTGAAGTCTACACACATTCTACAATCGTTATTTGCCTTACACATTATAACCACATTTGTAATTCGGTGAAGTCAGCATTTAGGTGCTTTCAAACTTCTTATTAGATAGGTTTAGCCATACTAGTAGCCACACCTCACTTTTTTTATCATTTGATGGGTCTACCATGGAATTGACATTGAGCTGATGACAAGAAATATTGAAATCAACTCCTAACATCTCATCCTAAATCCTGATGAACACATCACGATCCCTTAAGGTTGAAATCAACTACTTCTTATGCTCGCAATTCAAGTTGGAGCTAATTCAGAACTCTCGCTCACACTCACCTTCAGAGATATGTACTTGTTTGGTGGTCTCAGCAGTTTCCAAATCGATTACTTTATGTGTTGCTTTCATCACTTTCTCTTTTTATTTTTAAAGAAGTCGTCAGTTTGTCCATCGTCGTATGCTTTCCTTTTCCGAATAAGTCTTTCGTGTGGATCCTGTGAATGATTAGGAGAAGAGAGGAGCCGAAAAAATATGACATACGAGGAAGACAGACAAATAAAAGAAAGAACATGAAGAAATTTTGTGTGACAAACCTCACGAGAATAGGTCAAGCATGTACATCCGAACAGAATCATATTGAAATAACTAGTACCAAATATCCGTGAAAGAAAACATACAAAAGCTACCCACAACCAGAGATTCGAGTGGTTTTCCTGTTAGGGGTCTAGAATGCTCCCAAAGGAACGTGTCCCGCTTAGTTAATTACAACTTAACGGTTGCTCAAGAATACTCGTGATCCAAGGAGCTTTGCTGACATTAAATTGACAATTAGTACAATGCTATCAAATGGCAATTATTTCGCAAGAGAATACTCGGATGCTTTCAAAGCGCTCGCTAAGTCATGCGGTGGAGAGTGAGTATCTAACGATCTTACATGTATAACAGACTCATCGGCTTACGCAACCTACAAAATGACCAAGGCATCTTGACGGGGGTATCTCTATACATCAAAGCACATTGGGTTATAAGGGTAGAAGACAAATCATTGTATCCCAAACGAGGACGGCTCATCAGTAATCTGATTGTCATTATGATATCAATGACAGTAAGAGAAGTAACATAGCTCAAAGTGGGTGTTCAAAGGAAGGGATGAGTAGTCCCTAAAAGTTAAAGGTAACTGGGTCATGGTATCACAAACTTGTCATCTCAAACTACTATGACCCTAAGTCTTCCTGGTCATAAAGGTAGTCGACCTAACATGTCCAGTGATCCTTGGTCAGCAATCCGTGAATTGCGCCGTCCGCGGGAATCTCACTAGCTCTAAGGTTAAAAGAACGAAACTCTATCCTATGAATTTTAGGTGGAGCTCCAGGTAGGACTTATATCCACCAAAGTGGCGAGGATGCTACTGAAAAAGAAGAGAAAATGAAGTTCAACTACAAGGCAAAAAACACTCTCAACAAAGAACTTACATCCAACATGGGTTTGACAAGTCACTAACGCCCTAATCACACTGGATAACCACCTAAGTAGAAATCGATGATGAGTTAGTCGAGATGGAAAAGTAAGGGGGCTTCTCCTCAGAACATACAAAATGATGCAGTTATTTTTTTAAGTCATAATGCAGAGGCCTTATTAGTATGACTTGGGACATGGTCATGCATGCAACCCATTTTAAAATAGTCCCAAAGGCCATGCAGAAAAGTAAAAGCAAGTTTTAAAGGTCCTGAATCTTTTAATCCTAATTTTAATTAATCTTTAAATTTTTATTAAGATTTGTAGAAAAAAATTTATAAGTTTTAGGTCCTAGAGAGTCAGAGTGACAATGTTGGATTCCCAGACAACAGCTCAATCCAAAAAGGCAAAGCCAAACTAAATGTACAGACATGCAAGAAAACATGTAAAATAAGCCAAATATAAAATAATTAAATTTTGGTGTCGTTGGGTTGACTGCATATCTCAGGAAAGAGAAAAGACAGCTAGACACAACATGAGTACACACCTTGTCCTAATTCTACACATTGATGAGATTTAGAGTTAAAGTATGGGACACGAGCAAGTAGCTTCTAGTCCCTTCATGTGGTTCTACCCCCAGGAACCTCCTAACTCATGCACATACCTTATTTATAATACAAGACTCTCCTAAGAACTCTAAAAAGTGCATAGTAATAATAATAAAAAATGACTCGATCTGCATGAAACAACATCAGCGAGAAAGCCAACAAACATGCAATGCATATGAGTCATGCAAGGCAGGAAGAACTAAGAAGCGCTTACAGAAAAGAGTTTGCATTTAAATCATTGCATTGCTCCTCCCTGTTACATGTGTGGTGTGTATTTTAGGCATGACTCTCTACAAAAAGACCAACATAATATATTATCATGCATATCAAAACAGTAAGAATTCAAGCACACAAAAAGCACAAAATGTGATGCCTGACTAGGGCAAACAACCCAACATAGAATTATGATTAGGATACCAAAAAAAGACAACATAACATCCTAAATCTTAGCATTGCACACAATCTAACAAGAAAGTGTCTTAACCAACATCTAAGTGCTTGGGGTAAGTCTCCAGGTATGCATGACTTTATTGAGGTTCCTACACTGGCCCCTTCCTATAGATCCGAGGGATCTAAAGAGTGTCACCCATGATGGATTTTGAAAAGAGTTGGCCTTACACATGACCTAACTTGCTGCATGCATAATTTTAAAATTACAACGGATGTAATAAGTGGGAAAATGGTGAGGACAATCAAAACAAAATGGTCGGCTGGACCAAAGTGTATCTGGCCAAAGTGATCGGGCTGTTGGACCAAACTGTAATACCGGTTGGGCAAGGGCAGCCAAACTGTTGGACAAAGTGATCGGGCTGTTGGACCAAACTGTAATACCGGTTGGGCAAGGGCAGCCAATCGGGCCAAAGTGCAATATGTGAAATGCAACACATTAATCAAATGTAATTGGCCAATCAATAAGCATATGATCATCCTAAATTTTAACTCCCTCTTCTCCACGCCTAGGCCTCTCTCTTGCTCAGGGTCTAGTTTGCTCTCATGAAGGTGTTATGACTCTATTTGTAGAGTTCATATTATAAATAAAGAAAGAATCCATGCCATTCTTGATCGAACCACCTAGAGAGATCTTTTGGATCAATATGCAATGGATATTTTGAGTGTCTCAATGTTGTCGGTATTGAGCAATCTTGAGTTCGTTGGATTTGTCTTTTTGAGACGCTTGATTTGATTACAAGCTTGTCTGATTTATAATCCGTTTGACTTTCAAATTATGTCAGAAAATATTCCAAAAGTGGTTCAATGGCTTGATCTGGGCTTGATTTAATTCAGATTAGACAATTTTTTATATTATGGGGTCCGTCATGCTGAGCCGGTTAGTTTGGCTATAAAATTATTGAGAACGAAGTTTTTTATGACTTTTGATCGAAGTTCGAATATTTTCTGCTTAAACAATTACCTCGATATCCGTGTAGTGCTGCTAAATTCGTGCCAAATGATGAAAATTTGTTCATGAAATATCAAATAAATTAATAAAAAATAATGTTAAAATTTCATTTATTTAATAAATTGTCACAAATTATTAATTAATATAATTAATAACCACTTAATAATTAATTTAAAGATGTTAAATTATTCTTTAATAAATAATCAGTATGATAATTTTTTTTAATAACTAATTAATTCAATGAATAATTATTTATTTATTAGTATAGCTATAAATTAAATTTAATAGTTAGTTTTTATCATAGCAATAAAATAATTAAAATTTAATTATGAGTGTTTTATTTAAAAAATAAAATGAATTTTTAAATCATGATAAAAAATCATTATATCATCTCACAAAATTTAACTGAATTTATTAAATTGGTCAAACAATTTGATTAAATCTGCAAAAAAATTTTTAGAATTTAACCCCATGATCTATTAAAAACGGATTTAAGAAGAACGGAGAGAAAAAAAAAGAACGGATTTATAAATGTACTAAGTCCTACTAACTTAAATTCCATCAGTTGGCAAACAGCCCTTAAAAATTTTGTTGATCTGCCGATTCCTGTTTTTAGCTCGCCGAATCCACATTCATTCATGTACAGCGTTACAGTTCTTCGCTTGGAAAACCCTTGACTTCGCTGGCACATAGCTTAGCAGTTTGAAATACCGTTCTGCAGATTGCATCTTATTCCAATATCCTCCTTCAAACCGTTATGGAGAACGCCTACGCTAGATCTGTTATTGAGGTACATCTCTCTTTCTCCTCCCTCCCTCCCTCCAGACTCGAAGGTATGGTATTGTATCTTATCGACCTGATCAGTGCCCTTCGTCGCCTTTAAGGTTTTGGATGCTTTCGGCGTGGATCCAACCAAGGGTCTCACTGATCTTCAGGTATTGATTGGTTCCTCTCATATTCTGGTGGTGCTGAGCTGCTGGACTGTTCCCTGTCTTTGTTTGTTTTCCCTCACTGCTTCTCTCTCTATCGCTGCAGGTTGCCGAGAATTCTAGAATATATGGCAAGAACGGTATGCGTCTGATTTTTATATTTGTTGTTTTGGCTTTTTGCCGTGCTGTGTTTCCGGTTTATAGATATAGTTGTTCTGCATACTTTCTTTCTTTTAAGAGTTTTCAGCACGCATCCAAAGCTTGTCTGTTCTTAGATTTTTTTTCGGGTTGATTGCTGATACCAACTTATTTGGAGCATCAGACTATTTGTTGAAATAATCAGGGAGAAGAGTTTGAAATGCATTTAATAAATAACTACGCTAAATTTCTTACGTCTGGTACATTGAAAGAAAAGGACATGAAGCAGCAGCTTATTTTATTTCCCAGCAAGGAATGTCTGTGTATTTGTCTAGAATTTGTTAAACTCCTGGCGGTTTCGTGGTTACAGAAGATTCAAGATGTGCACAAAAAGTCGATGGAATGACATCAAGAAAGGGAATTTATGATTTTTTTTCTCATGCCATGGGGCATAGAGTGGCGTAAAATTTAGAATTGTTTTTTTAGGTTTAAGTAGGGCTGTAAACGAGCCGAGCTTGAGGGCTCGTGTTCGGCTCGTTTGAAATAGCTCGTGTTCGAAATCGGCTCGTGTTCGAAATCGACTCGTGAACAGTGTGTTCTTGTTCGGTTCGATTTAAATATTCGTGTTCGTGTTCAGCTTGTGTTCGGATCGAAATTGGCTCGTTAAATTAAAATTGAGAAAAATAGATGTAAAGTGTGAGATTCGAACCTGGATCAAATATATACAAAAGAAGACACTAACCACATTGCCACATGAGGTGTTATGATTTAAACTTAGACATAAATATATATAATATATTATTATATAAATAATATATGTAATATATTGTTATATAAAAATTATATAATTTTTTTTTTCGAGCCATTTCGAGCCGAATATGAGCCAACAAACTGTTATTCGTGTTCGGCTCGTTTACATTTTGAGCTTAAAAATTTGTTCGTGTTCAGCTCGTTAGGCTTAACGAACGAGCCGATCACGAGCTGCTTAACGAGCCGAACACGAGCTGTTCACGAACAACGAGCCAAATTGACAGCCCTAGGTTTAAGAGAAGTTATTGTGTCTAGAATGATCGAGGTACACATGAAGAGGTAAAATTCTTGGAGAAAAAAATAAACTGAAGAAAGCAATGGCATGATCAAAATACATATGAAACTAGTTATCTTCATTATAGCAACTTATTAAGAAACTTGTTTTGTAAAAAAATGATAATATGGGTGGGAAATTATTGGATATTGATTTTTCTTATGATAAATTATAGGAGATGAAAGGGGGTTAGGGTAAACAGAGGGAGAGTGTGGAGGAAGAAAGTTTAGATAAAGAGAAGAAAGATAGGTAAGAAGGGAAGTTGCGTGTGAGAGCAAGAGAGAGAGAGAGGGAGGAAGGACGGAGGGAGGGAGGTGATCCGTTCCCTAATTACAATAACAAATCAAGCAAAAAAGGTGATCTTTGATCACCTTCAATTGTATTTATAAGTCTCCATCGATGGTCATCATCTTGGCTAATTTTTTAATTTTGTCAGTGTTGATCACCTTGACATACAAGATCGTTCCATCTTATTTGTTGATATACTAGGCTGGTTCCCTTCATACCAATTAGAGAGATGGATACTGTGGATTTCCGAAGAACCTTCATTAAATAAGATACCATATGTTTATTAGAATTAAGTTTGAATGTCATTCGGGGACGGGGACGGGGAGGGGGA